GTATGACATCACTTACACGACCACCCATTTCGCACAGTGTCTGGGTACTGTGACAGAAGTGCTGATTAATCTTCTTTTGTGACGCAAGGCCGGGGGTCACGACTTGCGCTGGTCAGGGTCCCCAAAACAGTGGTTTGGGCCCCCGTGTCGGTCAGGGGCCGACAGCGCCTAACAAGGCGTCATGTGCCAGCTAGTGCCCCCGAGTCGGTCACGGGCTTTGTTTGAGAAGGTCCGAAGGGAGGACGAATTGGTCCTCGGGACCAAAGATCAAGGGCCCGATTGGAAGGCTGAGAGGCCCGAAGGTTTCGCTGTAGGTCACTTTAAGTACCCCTGCTCGTAGGACCGTGATCTCAAATGTCAGTAAAAGGGTATGTTGTGGTGGTTAGAGACAGCGTACCTCTAATTTGGCCAGAGACCACCAACACTGAACAGTCGGCACCATGTCGGTCTGATCACTTGGGAGCCATTCCCCAAGCAGGGACAAGGCCGGGCCGGCGATTTGCATTGGTCGGGGCCGTGCAACAATGCTGTGTTGGACAGGGGCCCGGTGTCAAACAGGGTGATCTGTGTCGACCAGGACCCTCGAGTCGGTCAGAGGAGCATTTGCTTAACAGGGACGGAGACGGAACTCCGAATAACAGAGGACCTCTTGCGGTGGTCGGGGCCCTCTGACAATGAAAGGAAGCATTATAACATATGACGAGCGTTCATATTGAGACAATGGAAAAGTCCTGTGCCAGTCAGGACCCCCCAGTGCCGAAAGCCTGACCCTGAAAGGTCAGCCAAAGGCACTCGTCGCGCCCGTCGGGGTTCCCGGGACTACAAAGACGTCTCTGTAGGTCCGAGGTCACCAATGCTGAATAGTTGGCCCTGAGAAGGCTTATATCCTGCGGTCCCATTTACGAAGCAGGGAAAGCCAGTGTCCGCAATGGAACTGATTTCCATCTGTGTTGGCCATAGCCTCTGAAACAATGCCAAGACGGCTGCCGGTATCAAGGCACAGAGTGCTTTACAGGGGAGCATGTGTCGGCAAGGGGCTCCTAGTCGACCAGAGGAACATTTGCTGTAGCAGAACTGGACGGGAACCTGAGGTTCATACAGCCACTTGCGTTGGTCGAGGTCCTCTTGCCTGACATGGAGTGAAAATGCGGGAAATTTCAGTGAAATGGTCCTCAATGAGACAATAGCCTCATTGAGGACCATTTCACCGGAAGTCTGGCCAGTCACGGATTCTAGTACCGAACAGGGTTCCTCAAGGCCCCTGAATTTAATTCATTTTCGGCATTTTTGACGTCTGTCCACCCGTAGTCGGAGGTTTTATCCTGACGTTTGGTCGTTTTATTATACTATATTTTAACGGGTATCATTGGTGATGACTCAGCCCTCTGGTGATAAACTGTCCGTTTCGGCTTGCTACTTCAGTTGGCGATCAGGGTGCGTATTTCGGTGATGAAACTGACCATTTTGGTTGTCCAATTAATTGTGCCCCCCCCCCCCCTGCGGCATTTTATTCCATTAAATCGTTTAATGCATGTTTTTTTTTGGTTTATTCGCTGTAAGATCCATCCGGCATTTATCTCGCGGTAGCTTTTGCGTTGTATTTCAGCTGTGTAAAGAAAAAAATTAAAACATCAATGAATTCATGCCCTCATTAATAAATGGGCCATATTCGATGAATTTGAGGGAGATCTTTCAATACTCAGGGAGCTCTATACTGACCCTGTGCCCGCCCGCCCCCCCCCCCCCCCCCCCCACTTGTCAAGGTTTTGGTTGCGCGACCGACGCCATATATGAGGTGGCTTGCTGACTCAACAGCCAACCTCTGCTATCTTACTGAAGGGCACGAGCTCAAAGGATTAGCTAGCACACTCAAAAGTAAAAAAGCTTGAAAATCAAGGGGAGAGGCAGACAAGAGCCTGGAAAAACTGTCATTTGTCGTTGGATTTAAAGGGACATGCTTTAGTAAAGGGAGCTAATGTGGTGTGCGTGTAATGGAATGACTGGATGCAAAGCAAGCAGCGCCATGTATGGCGTTTATTGTAATAAGTTCTGGCATATGTATATATATATATATATATATATATATATATATATATATATATATATATATATATAGGGAGACGGTAATAACTTTGCATATTCGTTCGGTAAGCCGCTTATCATCATCAGGACAGAACAAGCGTCGATGAATTAACCCCAATCCATCACTTAACTCACCAAGCCACTCGATGCACGATGTGAAATTTGTTGGCTGGGATACATTGAGGAGCAAAGCTGTGGTATACAGGAGGCTCTCGAGAAAAATGCAGCTTCAAGAGTGAGGAGCCTCTACGTAAAAAGCAACTCTAGTTCACAAAATGTCTCAAAAGTACGCCAGGCTGGGCTGTTTACTGAAGGAAGTGGAACGAGTTATTGGCCCAGACTTGATACAGGTTCGAATAGAACTGAACTGTTCCACATATTGTCAGGTGAATCCAAAAATGCGTTCCAGATGGCAAAAAGAACATAAAAAAGCTTCCAGGCGTCTGTCGCTGCCAAATGATAGTATAGTTCACTTCCTATGGCTCCTCAAAATAGTGCATTACAAACGTGACCAAGATCAGACTCGCACCGGAGGTGATGACAGACATCATTAGTTCAGATCAAAATAATCTTGGGAAGTCATATTCAAGTCAGGATAGCCGTGGATAGCTTTCTTGTCAAACAGCGGCTTTCGACACATCGTACGTACTATTCAAGACCACAAAAAGCTCTACGTACATTGTTTATATCACAAGAGCTTAGTGGCATCCATGACCGTTTCGTCCATCCCGATTGCTCAGCTGGGTAGAACGCCCGCCTTCTATTTCACCCAGCCGTGCAGGATTGGGTTCGGGTCGCTCTCGGCGCTCGCCATTTGTCTCTGACTGGGACGGCCTGCGCCCGGTGGCAGCGGCCGCGTTAAAGGTCAGGTGAGATCTGAGAACAGGACGCGCCGTGCCGATCATTGCGGCACATTAAGCTTTCGTCGCGAAATCCTGCCGTGGACCCGGAATTTCAGGATCGGGTTGTGACGTCAGACCCCAGGCATAAGTGCTGCTTTGTGTGGGCGATTCCAGATGTTTTGCGGTTAGCATGCACTAATATGGGCGCATAGAGTGAAACAAATGACGTAATTTCGGCTTAGGACGAAACGTGTTCAGCACTTCTTATTGAGTATTCGTCACGTAATTACACTGTCACGACTGCCCATCAGCACGTGCTGTGTCCTTGTTTTGCGGCATTATGAGTTCAGAGCTTTCATGCTGACAGTTATCAACTTTTAATATACCAGAGGGTGCTTGCTGAGCAACGTTGTAAAGCGAGTATTGGCATATTGGCAATCCTCACCGTTGTGGATCTGTGCTCGTCATCACGAGGGAAGAGCGTTGAGCGAAAGTTGGATATTTAAAAACTATGACATGGCAATCCAGAAAATTCCCAGAATCTGTACAGACATTTGTAATATTATATGCAAGGATGTCAAAAGATAAATAATATTAACTCACATTCTAACACCCAGTACGTGTTCCTAGCCTAAGGTCTGAACGAATCGCTGTGCATTCGTCATCTCCGCTCGAGGCTGGACACACAAACGTGATCTTGTGACCTGGTTTGAGCAACATCATTGAAGTAATGCATGTTTCGAAACCCATCTCTGCTGCTTATGATGAACAACCCGCGGTGTGGCCGGTTGTAACGTTCCGGCTGAACCACCTGTGTTTCGGCTAGCCCATAGAGTTAAGCCGTGCATTGGGTGTTAGGATGTGGGAGCTTGCATGGTTTTTTATGTTGGTATTCTTTTTCATGGCGGTGTCTGAGTAGCGTGCTGACTAATAGCTGACTTTTGGTGTTATTTTCTGGACTCACGGTCTCGGTGTTTAAAGGAAATGTTCCACATCTAAATATAGAATGTGGGAGCAAGCATCACATATGAGATATGACAATGAAACATTAGAGCATCAGAAATATGATGCAAGCATCAGATATGACGAAACAAGCTCACTTATAACTATCGGTATATTTTTTTTCAGTGGAGGCGATTGCTCCAAGCAGCACAGTTCTCCGAGTAGTAAATGTGCTCCTCAATGCGTCATGGTTTGATTGCGCCATCATGCCTTGCATAATAATGATTGGAAGCCAATTAACGGCCGTTATGTCTGGAAATCGCGCTCACGAATGCAAGATATAAACGCTTCCACAATTATATTTGTCTTGGCCTAGATCGCCGGATGGCTTATGGAATGGCAGGACTTGAATGGCGCTGTTATGACGCTATGAATGCCAAGTTGACTTTGCAATACTATCCCCGATATACCTTACCGCATTTTCGCGGGAGTGTAGCTCAGAAACTAGATGGCTTAGGTCTTAAGAAGGGCAGGATTTTGAACAACATCGAAATTTCCTCTGGATGGCCATTTCAGTTCAAAGCCCCAAATAAATATGGAACACTCCCTTTAATGTTGCGGTTATTTTTGTTTTGCTTAACTTTGTTCACTCGTGACCCTGGGCACAGCTCCCAAACGAGGTGCGTTTATTGACGTCGTTTAAACGGTACCTCCGGTATATAGGTCAATACCCGTCAGCATAAAAACTTCAAACTCACAATGGTTTTGAACTTTTGATATCAGTGAGTGAGAGTCTCTGGCTTTTGTTTGCGCCTTAGACGAGAAAAGATTAAAACCTCTAACGCGTAGCGTAGCCCAGAAAAGTTTCGCTTGTCGTGGGCGCTAACGGCCGAAGCTTCTCGGCTTAATGGTAAGAAACAGCCTGGATATTTTGATAATGGGGTGGGGGTCTGGACTCTACCAGAATTGAGTAAATCTAGACCTTTTCTTAGACCATACCAGATGTTGTAAATTCTAAACGACTGTTGATCGGCTGCATTTTTGTCTGTGCTTGTAGCTATAATGTCGGGAAGCACGAGAGTGGAAACAGAAATCACCTGTGGTGAAAAGAAACAATGGAACCGAGGAAGAGAGGACATCGGTAGAAAATGACGGGTCTTCAGTACAAACAGATGAATTACTGCGACGACCCAGCTGTCAAAACCCCGCTACTACGCATGCGCTGGCCGGTTCGCGAATAGGCCCCGGCAAACCCGCGGACCCGCCGCTGGGTGCGGGGACAGTAGCCGCCGGCGCCGGCTGGCTGTAGCGCTCACACTGCTGGCAGTCGGCCACGTCCTCGATCTGCACCATTGGAGGCTTGCCGGTGATTCTCGAAGGCCGGCACACCGAGCGGTAACACTTGGTCACATTGTACATCACCACCTGCAGAGGCGGCGACAAAGGTCACGCTGATATGGCGGACAGCCGCCAAGTGGGCTACTGCAAGCGGCAGGAAGGTGCCGGGGCCAAAGGTCACCTTCTGCGCCCAACACGCGCCTTCGTGGCTTTGTTCTGCGCGGCGGAGCCCTTGTTGGCCGTCACTGTTGGTTTGCAACATCCTTTAGCCAAAGCAGCAAGTGTAAGGAAACGAAAATGCCTTGCTGGCTGAGTTCAGCAACGCGTAGTGTATGCACGGTGGACACAGAAACCTGTTCATGTCTAAAACAAGCTCAGGCGAGAAACGTGGATGCCGAATAAGTCACGATGTATTGGAGCACCAAATGCATCGCCAGGAAATGTGACTGCAATTTCTTTGTGGGCTGTGACGAAAATGTGCAGCAGGCTAAGTGACATGAGAATTTGCAGAAGACTGGCGAATTTACCTGATCAATATTGAAGCAGGTTCCTCCACTGAAGCAGTGACGACAGTTGATCACGTACGAGTGCAGGAAGACAGGGAGAAAAGACAGGGCTAAGGCCGCTGGCATCCAGCGAAAGCCTGAGAATGATCAACTCGTTAAGGTCGCCGATTACGCCCGCCTTTATTAAACCCATACAGCTTAGTCAGTATCTTTTGTGCGGAAAACGAACCACTAAGCAACGACCGCCATATCAAAATGAAAGATCAGATAATGACATTTTAACTTTGCTTTGAACAAGATACACAGATTAAAACTTTGAGGTCTCATTTCGATGCCCATACTAAAATGACTTCAGGTGATTTTATATTTATGTTTGGAAACCTGTGACTGGCACCAAGGTAGAGCAGCTTTTCCTGGTCGCCAGCTATGCCCATCAGACACTTAAATATTCGCGCTGCCAGGCCAATGCAAGCGAGGACAGCATCGCGAGTGAACGCCCACCAAGCGTCCTTCATGTCCCTCCACCTACCTGCCGGTTTGTCGGTGGCCGCCATGTTCTCTGGCGATTCCCCCAGCACCAGTTCTCGCCGCCTGTTTCCGATGCGACGTCTGCGCCATTAACGTGACGGGCGGAAAGGCGTCCCTCCTGGTCCCCCCCCCCCCCCCTCCCCCAACCGTGACACAACCCCAGCTGTGTGGCAGCCCACGGGCTCGATTCACTGCCATTCGCACAGGTGCTCGTAGACGTAGTCGCGGCAAATACCAAAAAACGACAGTGTGGTGTTGTTTAGTAGCATCAGGCCGAGCCAACTAGCCAAACACTGCAGACGAGTCACTGAAGTCGGAAGTCTGTGCAAACGCCGAGTTAAATCGGTTCGTAAAGAGATCGGTGCCGCTGCCTAGGTTGATGCACGTTCAGTGATAGCATGATAATAGACTGTTACATTGCGTACGGTTCATTGAGACAATAAGCCTTAGGTGGCGTCTGACCTGAAATCCCCAGACATAAGAGCGTAAAGGGATGTTTGCAGCATATCCTTGAGGTCTAAATGTGTTTGTTATTGAGCTTGAAAGCGGTTAGTTCAGGGTACGCGTTAGCATCGTCAAATCGAGCCATTTTAGGATGTTGGGCCAAACCGATACCGATATGCATGTTTCACTGAGACTGTCTGGACGTGAAGCGAGCTGACGCACATGCCCACAGGATAATTTTACCATTTCAACCGACTGTCAATGAACTGGAGTACGTGGTAGTATAAATTTCACTACGACCCTGGCTCGAGTTTCGAAGACAACGTGTTGTATTCGGCACTGTTTTTCGCAATGCAGACACTCCCGGCTTGCCCTGCAACTATTGGCGCAACCACGCATTTCACAAACTCGTGCCGAACACATTACTCACAGACGACACGTTGTTCGACACTTTGAAATTGGATTAGCGCCTCCACCCGCTCCGGCTGCCGAGATACGGTATAAAATCTGAGGTAGCTTAATAACGAAGCTGGAGTAGCCGAACACCTGTGAGTGGTTGAGCTAGCTGAGCTAGCTGGGCTCATTGAGTGCCGGATATGCGTATTATATATATATATATATATATATATATATATAATATCCATTGCATGCTTTCCACATATGTCGTGATATATCTATATCCATAACGTGTTTAGCTACCGAATTCCTTAGACGCTTGGCAATGTCTTTACAAGATCGAAGTCGTTTCAATAGACGAGGCGATTGCAGCCCGTCTAAGTGGATACGCGGTTGGGTATTCAATTTGTAATTTCTTTATTTATCTAAAAGCGGAATTTCCTCAATGCGTGTGGCTACTGCAAGTCGTTTACAGACACACAGACACGGGCAGGTGCGCACGCACGTACGCACGCGTGCACGCATGCATGTACGCACACATGCATACATACAGTGGATCACCAGAATATAAGTTGTCGGAAATCCCGTGAATTTTTCGAGCCTGCTTATGAATACATCATGATTCATGCAGTGTTTCTGGAGGCCACTACTCTGTTGTGTAGAACTGTGCAGAGGCGCATTTGTCAACGACATGATCTGCTAAAATAAAGTGCAAAAGCCGGCTTACGAATGTAAAATTAAACGATAAGTCGTAATATCTCACCACTTCTTATGCCAACGGTTTGCCGGTATCTACGGCTGCGCCGGTTTCGCGAGGTCACTGGATTCCGGCGCACTGTAGCTGGCCGGCTTGCTATCCAGCGCACTGTAGCTGGCCGGCTTGCCATCCAGCAGCCGCATCTCCTCGCCTTTCGGCTGCGGCTTGGCTGCCGCCGGGCCGACCTCCTCCTCCATGAGGTCCACCAGGGTTCCGCCCACGGCCAGAGCAACGAACACCACCACTGTCCCTCTGCGGACAAAGAGGTTGTGAGGAACACTGGGCGCTACCCACAGCAGCGACGTAGCCAAAGGGGAAAGCTTTTAAGACCATGACGTTCCCTGGAGGAGCTTAGAACCCCATTTACGAACCTGAACTGTACTTCAACATCACAGCTTGCGAACTTCACCTTCGCTCTCACTTTCTTTCGTTTTGTTACTTTTTCTGTCCTTTTTTCCACACTTTCTTTCCTTCCTTTTCACTCCTTTGAGCTTTCATTCGCAAACTTTACATGTATAAGCAGCTCTGATACCTGGGGATGTTGCTTCCCCCCCCCCCCCCCGTGAGGCCGAAGGGTGTAGTGCTTTTTGGCGACTTAAAACGCCTGAAGAGTGTTAAGTGTCTGCGTCTTTCAAAACTAGCCCTAGAGACACCAAAATGGGATTCTGAGCCAAAAAGGCTTCAAAATCCGATAGCGGCGAAGTGGGGGCCCTTCGGCTGGGAGGGTTCCTTATGCCCCGGTTTGGCACCCTCGCGGACGACATTCTAGCTACTCCACAGGTCAATGGTGCTAGAGAAGAGAGGGTGCTATGGTGATCTTGTGGGCGAGTGGGCCATGATAAATACCATCATCATAGACCACTGGTGCAATGGGAGGACAGTCAGTATCGTAATAGGAGATACCATCGGGATGCTGTGGATGCATATGCCATGAAAAATAACCACAGACGGCCTGTGGACTGAGCGGTCACATGCAACACCACCTCTGTGACCCTCTGGGCAGGCAAGCCATTCATCAGCTGCAGGAAAGACAGCGGCACAAGCGCCTCGCCAGGCAGCAGTAGGTCATGACAACCGTGGCGTGTGCTCAGCGGAGCTATTAACATCGTGGGCACGTACGCAGCGAGCAGAGCTCGGCTACTGATTGCTATCAGCCCAGGGATGGCGCCGCCAGTGCGAAGCGCGTCTGCATGCGCATTACCATGCGACGATTGCGCAGCAGACCTGCCTGCCTGCGAGGACTGCAGACCTGCTGCGCAGGTCTGCAGTCTTCGCGGCGTCTTTTTACTATATTGCACGCGCGAATGGACGCGACAGGTACCGGCGAGAATGAAGGTGCAGTTATCATCCTCAGCCGCTGCTGGG